AGCTTTTCAGGGTGGGTGTTCTCTGATCTCCCTGTGGGATCTTCACAGAAGGAGGCTTGTTTGCAAACAGGGTGCAGACCAACTGAGCTGTGCTGTGACTTGAAGAGAGCAGAGGGAGAGCAGCAGCTTGTATTCTGTGGGATTTCTGGGTCAGTAGACCAAAGACAAGTCTTATGTATCTTTTTACAGCCTGTCTTGGCCCCATTTTTTTGCTGGTGAAAGAGGGCCTCCATGTGCTTGAGGCTTGACTTCCAGCTCAAAGGCTGAGTTTGAGAGTGGCTTTCAAACATTAGCCAAAAATGTTAGTCTGTGCATGTGTATGGGGAGGTGTGGGGGAGGCCACATCGCTCCTTTGTGCAGTCGCACAGAATGAACCACAATCTGTCATGCTTTTGGTTATTAATAGCCAGAATATGAAAGTAGGGCAAATATCCTTCCCGATTTATCCTGACCTGAATACTGTATATCATCTTCAGGCCACAGAATAGTAATTCTGTCTCTAGCTGTCACATTCCTGAATTTTAGGAGCAAATATCTGTTACTATTTTGTGTCACGATTATCCATGTCACATTACAGAGAGAAGCCTGCAGGCAGGCATGCGAGCTATGTGAGTGCTGCTTGCTTACGGAGACACTGGGATGGTGATCCTGCTTCCTGTCACTCTGTACTGACACAGACAGTCAGACAAGAGAACCCAAGGGAGAGGTCACCCTTGCCTGGAGTGGCTCTGCTGGGGATGAGAGAAGAGTAAGATACAGAGAGGCAGGCCACATGATGGGGAGAGGAATTAGAGAGCCATGAAGAAATGCTGACGGAGGCAGGAGGCTTTTGATTCAGGAACAGGGAGGGGGAAAAGAAAGAGGGAGAGAGATGCAGAAACCCGTAACTGTGCAGTTAACCATTCCTAGGCAGGAAGATTAGAGTTATGAAGGAGCTCACAATAATGTGGGAATACTGGGCTGTTGAGAATCCAGGAATTAAAATAAAGAACGTTGAGACTAAGGAAAGGCTCTGGTACTAATAGAAGTCATTTTTTTTTTTCTCCTTTTTGTTTCTAAAAACCATGAATATATCAAATACCATATTTTATTCCCCTCCCAATCTGCAGTTGGTGTTTTTCATTCCTAATTTTGAAATCACAGCAACTTTTCTGACCAAATGTGCACATTTCACCTTTGTGGTCTACTTACATTCCTAGAATATGAAGAGAGAGAAATAAAAAGGCATTAGCTGTGATAAATCAATAAATCTAGCAAAGAGATGCTAGAATCAGAAGACCACATTTGATCAGGTTTTTCCACTGACTTCCACACAAACTGGCATGCTTTTGGAATGAAGCATGTGAGCTTGAAGAATCACATCTTCATCCTTTTATTGTTTTGAGTGTTTTTCTGGTAATAGTCTTTTCCTGGGTAGACGCACACACAAAAAAGCCAATAAATATTACTGCTGATTGCATTTAGAAACTGCAGGCATTAATTGGAATGTGGGCCTATTTGCTTGAGGTGGAATGAATACATAGGGAAACAAATCCTTGCCCAGAAGTATTAAAATCTAATGTTAAATCAAAAGGCAATGTAAGACTGTAAGAGAAGCATGAAGTAGGAAAGGTGACTGCACTAACAGACTGTGCTTATTTAATCCTGCTAATTAACTACACGATCACTTCAAATCATCATCGTGAAATGTTTCTGTTTCTGTCATGTTTCTGTCATGTTAAATACAAGGATGGTTTCCACCACGCTAATTTCTGGCATTCCAGTGTTAAGTGTAGTATATGTGACAGATTAGGTCACTAGTACATATTGTGTTTTCAGTGTATCAATACTTTTGCTGTGTCTTAAGTGTCAGTGTGAAATCCAACAGATAGCCCCTCCAGGCCTCGGTCCAGCACCCACAGACACACCTCATACACACCTCATCCTCGTGCCTCGCTGCTGAACTGCATCAGGAAAGGATGAACCTTGAGTCTCTGGCTCTTTCTTTCCCAGTTTGTGCTTTTCCCCACAGTGAACATGAATCTCTATTTACTCCTTTGCCGGAACCGCACAGCACAGTAAACATGGCATGCATCCCCTAACACTAACAGCCACTTCAGGTGGGCTGAGATGGCATCCATGTGATGCAAGAGAGACAGAGCAAGCTGGGCCCAACAGCTGCAGCCCTTGTCCTAGGGAGCAGAGGGCAGTGACTGCACCACTCCCTTTGCTCTCATAGTCAGGACACCATAAGAGCCCCAGATCCTGGCTCCGGGAGGCTGGGATTTTCACAAGCCGAGGGCAGAGGGCATGCTGGGATGTTCCTGTTTGTTTTTGAAATGCTGATGCTGGCTGTCTGCTGTTTCTGTCTGTGTCTGATGATGGGAAGCATGCACCAGCACTCAGGGCTCTGTGGCTTGGGCTCATGGTATTCGCAAGCTTCGTTTGTCAGTGCTAAATAATTCTAGTCAGATTTCCAAGTACATAGTAGATACTTGCTGCTTTGAGTCATTACAGTTTGCAAAAAAGTCCTATGTCTGAGCTTTGAAATGTGTCCTTCTATCTTCTGCCTTCCTGCCCCCGCTGCCACCACGTCCATCCTGTCAGAGGAGCATCCTCCAGGTGCAGCGTGTGGAAATGAAGGAGGGGAATTCTCATCTCAGAAACCCTGCCTGGCCAGGCCGGGACACCCAGGCTTGTTGGTAGGCAGCTCAGTGCAGCCAGGACTCGTCTGTGGGACTCTGGCATGTCTCTGGAGAGAGGGGGCAGGGCAGGAGCCTGCACACAGTCGCAGTAGTTCTGATCTGTGATGGGCGACGGCTCATTAAGCTGTCACAGCTCTATGGCAACAGAGTGCATGGCATCCACATCTAAAGCAAACACACAGGCTTTGATCAGGTTTGTTCTTATTGTTATACCAGTGGAGCTCAGCCCAGCTCCTCTGGAGCTTGAGACATTGCAGATTGCAGAATAAGCCCTGTCTGCCTCCACGGGGATACTTTCAGCAGGTTTCTTGTTGCTGTGCCCAGCCCATACCCAGACACAGAGGGTCAGCCTCGTCACCCTCTGGAGCCATGTGTAGGCAGCAGAGTGGCTTTTAGGGCCTTTGTACCAAGACTCCTTAGTGACCTTCACATAGGCCCTGGTCTCAACATGCAGTGAGGTCTCCGTGTTCTGTGGAGGAAGTGGCTGGAACAGCCAAAATACAGTTGCTCAACATCGGCCTTTGGAAGACGAGGGGACTGCTGGCCTTCAGGCATTGGAGTTTCTATGGGGAGGGAATGAGCCAGTTCTTCTATCCACTTAATACATTTTGGATAACATCCAGTCTGACTTCTCTCAGCTTCTGTCGGGGTGTTGGAACTGTTAGATTATCTTTGGCAGCTAAGAATATATTTTTTATTTTTTTTTATATCAAAGTGACTATTGATGTTCAGTGGGTTATCAAAACACAAGCTTACATTACTGCAAAGAAACCATGGCTGTATTCTTTTCAGAGTGAAGTCGTGAATTGCTCCTCATCTTGGGAAACAACAGTAAATTATGCGGGAGACAGATTCAAATACAATCTTGCAGTGAGCAGATCTATAAATACAGATGTTTTAGGAAAGCATCTTTGTGAAGGATTTATTACATCCAGGCTTCCCAGATGTTGCAAGGGGTTGCACCTCTAAGATGTTGTGCAGCTAACATCCTTAATAAAAGTGCCCCTTTCCTTGTAAAGATTAAATCTTCTCACCCAAACACAAACTTTCTTCCCACAGTCTCCCACCCAGGTGTGTGAGATGTCTGTGCCACTGAGGTCTCCTACTCACGGAGTAGAACTGGCTTCAGGTTAGACCCCATTCCTGGGTCCGCCCATTTCCTGCCATTGTCTTTTTACTTCCAAGGTGTTCATGCAAGGAATTTGGCTGACACTGACTTACATAAAGTCTTAAAAAGTTGTTGTTGCAGGCCTTGGTGTAGATCATCAGTGTGGGACCCAACCATCCTAAAGGGTGCACTGGGCTGAGCACATCCCATTTCCCCATCACGGCGTATACTGGTGTGCCATATTGACAGGCATTTGGTTTTAGCATAGGTAATCACTGATATGTTCTTTTAAGTGAGATTCATAGATGATGATTACATTTACTGCATAAATTACTTCATTATTAAAATCAGGTCATTTGAGCCTCAAAACCATTAGCATGCAAACTATTAGCATAATTTCATAAGCTAATAAATCAAGCGCAGGAAAAGAATTAAGTGGTTCCTAGTGATAAGTGTTTCTTCAGAGATTAAGAAACACAATTTTCTTATGCATATATTAACATTTTAAAAGTGAATTCATGCAAAAGCAATTTTTCTGCATATATATAACTTATGTTTAATAATCCTTATGCTCAGCCTCCAGAGCTCCTTCAAAATTAATGTTTTTCTCAACTCACTGTACAGTAATTTGGAGTTGAACCAGCTAGCCTGTTTTGATACAGTCTACCTGTAAAATTCTCTATGCTTTTATTAAACAGTCAAAGTTAGGAAATAAGCCAAGATATGATTTAGAAGAAAAGTAGCTTGGATTCATCCTAGATAATGAAATGTTCACCCAAGGTAAACTTTGTATTCTTAATCCTAAGTAGTACCAGTGAAATTGTAATTAACTCCATAATTGCAATCTAGAACTACAGTTGTCTTCTTATTAGAATGGTGCATTAAAATTGATTTAATTCCCATTTCTTATGTTTAATTCCCATTTCTTATGTAATAGAATGTAATATTGGCCAGGATGACAAAGAGATGGGCTCTTCTATTCATCTCACTGACTAGATTCAAACTAGTACAGCAATACAACTGTAATTATTTGGATACACAAAAGTTGCATGAAAATAAAGCAAATTCCAAAATAAATGAAACTGTAATAATTAGCAGATGACAATGCATAGGAATTTTGTGCTACAAGGTGTCCATGATCTATTTATATTTAGGTGGTTTTGTTTTCCAGCCCCTAGCCCACTGTTTTGGTTTGTGTTATATTCTTTTTTTCTTTTTTTTTTTTCTTTTTTTTTTCTTTTCCCAATATGAGCCCTTCAATAATAGGTTCCAAGGAATAAGATAATGTGATGTTTTCAGTACTGCACTCACCATACTGGGTATTTTGGATCTTTCGGTTTGTAAAATAGTAACACAACCTCAATCTTTTCTAGCCCGCATGTGAAAAAAATGCTCAGTAGTTTCTTGTGCGTGCTGCTGTTTAATGACAAGCTTGACTAAGACAACACCACACTGAGAACTACTTCTTTGAGGAGGCTGGCATGTTGCTGGCCATCTCCCTACACCAGTTTACCGTGGGACCAGACACAGACCACAGCTAGCACAAGGGAGATTACATACAAGAGGGGAAGTGCAAAGACACTTCTTTTCATGGCATCTGGTTATTTTATCAGCTTTACTGCAATTTGAAGCCACAGCCTCAGACACAGTAGAACCAGTGTTGTCCCAAGTGCAGCAGTAGTGGTTTCCTATGAGCAACAGAGATGGTGGGACAGTCACCAGGCAACCTGTGTGGAAGAGGAGGCCAAAGAAAAAGTATTACAAGTACTCTTGTCACGGTTGTGTAGACTGTGTACATTGAACAAGGTGGACCGGTGGCTCAGAAGTATTAATTATGTAAATAAGGAAGAAACGGTGCACTGTCAATGTGCAATTTTCCGTGGCTGTTGTTCTTTTTTCTGTGATCCTTTCTGTCTTCTCTGTCTTCTGTATTTCTGTCAGGACATTGTAAATCTCTCAAATTATTAATGTGTTCTGTAACTTTCTCCATTAGAAGAATTCAGCATCTTAATCCTCAATTATGGACTCTTTTGCATTCTTTCTTTTAAAGCAGATACTGAATTACTGCTGCTCCTGGCAGGTCTTCAGCTTGTTTGGAGACTGTCTGTGCTGTTGTATATGCATTAATCGTTTCTAAAACTAGTAGATTCTCCAGGACTATGCTTCAGGTACTTCTTCAGAAGGGTTTATCAAAATCTGCTTCCAGGTCATAAACTTATTTTTCAGTGTTTGTATAACTAATTGCACAGAGGAGATTATGCAACTAGCATGTTGAAAACACCCATGTGAAATGGTGTTTATGAAAATTTTCTAATCAAAATGTGAGAACGGTTATGAAGTTTGGCAGTGTTGCTTTCTGTATTACTGATGCTGAATATTAAAAAGATGTGAAATCTGATCTGGACAAATTGGCATGAGTTAAGAGTTTTTATAACACAGCAGTCTCACCTGAACTCAAACAGAGGCTACTGTTCAAATGCAAAACCTAACCTGAAGTCTCTGTTCATTTAAAATAGAATACTATTGAAGTCAAAGAATATTACTCAGCTGAATAAAATTCCTGGGTCAGGATTTTATTTTCATGTATGAATATATGTAAAAACAAGAATTTGCATTTCCAGGATCTTTCAGTTGTTGTTGTCAGACAATGGTGGTATCTTACCTTTCATTGTGCTAGCTAATTTCTTTAGTGTGGAGCACCCAACATGAAAGACCTACTTGGCCAAGCAATGTGCTTATTTTCCAGAAGCCTGTGAAGAAACTGGTTCCTGCAGGCACTGACCCCAGGCTTCTGCTGTGACTATGTTTGGAGGAGTTTCTCCCCTTGCTGGAAAGAAAACACCAAGAGGCTTTTAGTAAAGCAAAATAAAGGCATCTCTGCTCGTGTGAATGCTCACCCATGAACGCAACAGAGCAACGCGTGTGAACCACAGAATTTGTTTCTCTACTTTTCTCACAATCATTCATACTGTCACCTTTTTCAATGTATTGATCTGCTTTTTCTGTAAACAGTGACCCCTTGTGAAGGGGTAAATTCAGCTTGGAAGTAATGTCTAGTAATGTCTAGTCTCTGATATGCCTTTTTTCAAGGCTCACTGTGCTGAGGAAAAGGATATTTTAAAAAGCAGACTTTGAATGATGCTTTATTCATTACACTAAATAGCTTATTCATTTACTAATCTGACCACTTCTGACTACTGCTCGTTCATTGTATTCTCTCTGACTTGTGAAGGAAGAAAACAGAGACAAGTAGACTGTGTTGTCTGTGCCTGGCAATTATGTGCACATCAGTGGTGGCAGGACCAGCGGAAGTTCAAATCCTTCTCTGATGTATTCCATTAATTCAAGTAACTGCTTTGTATGAAAATGCACATAGGGCAGCACTTAGCACACACAGTTCAGAGCCAGGAAGGCTGAGGCATTCAGCTGTAGATGTACTCAGTTACTTTCTGCCATCACCTTTCCTCCCACAAAATCCAAACTACTCATGGATCCAGATTGTTGCTTTTTTTCTGGAAAAATGACATGTCACCAAGATCTTTCCAATGGCAAGAATAGCTTTTGTTTGTTGTTGATTCTTTCAAGAATCTTTTACAACAAAAAACAAATGCTTCATTTTCCTTCAGAAGAGAAAATTGTGTGGAGGAGGAGAACTTACGTAAGAAGCAGTGCTGCTCCAAAAATGTCAAACACACATTTGTTCTTCGGAACAAAAATTGGAATTTTCTGTTTTATATTCCTGGTAAGCCTCCAGATACAGTATTTTAATTAGAAGTAAGTGACTTTAGGTGACCAAGACAGAAACTGGACCATGCAACAAGTGTTCTTCCTGGAGAGACGTCACTTTCAAAGTCCATTAAGACCACCATGAAAATCTCTGTGGCCATTTCAATGTCTTGCTTTGTTACCAAATCTGCTCACTTCTTAAACTAACTAGCCAGTTCAATCATTGCTTCATTTTGGAATGGGAAAATATTTATTTAACAACAAAACTGGGGAATAGTACTTATTTTTAAAAAGTCTACAAACACCAGTACATATGAAAGTGTATGACTACTGATGAACAAAGCTTTTGTGCCAAAGAAAACAAGGAACAAAGAAAACAAGGATTTAACATACTGTTCCTGCTTTGCTACATAGATCTTGTGCTGCAAATTTGGAGTTACAGAACTGAAGTGATTGTAGAGTTTGTGTAAGTACCTGCTTTTCTTTCCCATTTTCTTTTGTAACTTTAAACAGATCAAAATGCAATCAATTTTTCTGAATAATTTGAAAATTTCAGGGATGATGTACAATCTCAGGGTAAGAACTTGAGTTTTTTTGAGGCAAATTAATTCAAATGGAATTCAGATGCTAACTCAAGACTTTAAAATTTTCTGTTAAAATATATGCAAAGCAATGAAATTCAATATTTTTAATGTATCAGAATAATCCACTTATGCTGTTCTGTGCTGTTTTTGCTGTTCTGTGAATCTCACTGTGGCTGGTAAAGAATTTTGTTCCTCTCCTTGCAGATGATCTGCAGTTCAAGGTTCTTCCTCAGGGAATAATTCTAAGAAGATATTAATAAAATTGGAAGAAATTACTAAGGTAAGTTGCAGAGAACAAAGAGAAGTTCTCCATTAAGACCAGAAACTTGGCCCACAGGATTTAGGTGAATCACTTTAGAGTACCTCCTATATATCATACATTTGGGATAGCCTCAGACTCTAAAATATATGAAAATCTATTTGTGGCTTGTATTTCTAATAAAAATACTAAAAAATTACTCTAACACTGCAGAGTGTTTTTAAACTAACCAACATTTATGATTTGATCATTTGTGAACGTGTCACTCATTTCAACTAGCTCTATGGGCATTAGGGACCCATTTCTGAACCAAGACACTTCTTCCTCACTTTCCTGATACCTCTAGATCTGGGGTATCAGTTTTGAAAGATTTAACTCCAACATGAAAATATAGGATCTTCAAGCCCATGCATTATCACAACGGAGAAAGTCTTACCTTACATTGCAGTCAAACATTAGTGCAGCACATTTTAGGAAATCTGAAAAGCAGATACAGTGACAAGCTTATTATACCTGATGTAAATGCAGTTTTACGCTTTTGATTACATAGCCTTTGCTAGTGGACAAGCATCAGCCAAATTGTTAAAATGCTTACCAATAGGACACGTCCTTTCTTGTTCTTTATGTCTTGCTGATGGAAAACTGAAGTACGAAACCTGTTTCTTGTTAATTCTACATAAGAATTGCCAAATGTGTGGGAAAATACAGATCATGGCCTGAGCAGGTGACTAGCCCATAAGTAAACAAGTTAACTGCTTCTGGCTGCTGGATGCAGCTAGAAGAAACTCACTTGAGAAGATCTGCTCTACAGTAACTATGTGTCCTTGCTTTCTCCCAATGACTTTGCTTATCCTAATACGTGATGCTTCATTGTCTCCTGTTGTATGTATGGCCACATTACCAGTGGGTTGCATGGACTTGTCAGCTAGTCACCATCAGTATCTGTTGGAAGTAAACCCAGTGTAGACATTCTACCAGCCAGCCACCACCAGTAATGAGAACTTGGGGGAGAGTCTACTGGCCAGCACCCCCCCAGTAACGTGAGGACCTCTCTCTTAAACTGATGAAAGTTAACTTGCCTGCATGTACTTTCTTCAGGATGGGTAAACCTTACACAGAAGAGCTGCCATTTTTGCATTACACCAAATAAGTTAAGGTAAATCAAGTTAGTAATGTAAATCCAACTCTCATAAATTAAGGGGCTTTAAACCATTTCTTTGTCAATTAGTTTCTTCAGTACTGCAGCTGTAAATTTGCAGGAGGACTGAACTCACTTTGTTATTGATTGCTCTTAAGTTTCATGTGCTTTAGACAAATCCCAAGAGTGAGAAAACAGAATGGCTATGGCTTCCATGTCTTTGGAGATATTAAAAACCCAGCTGGGCATGGTGCTGAGCAACCCTCATGGACTCTGCTTTGAGCAGAGGAGTATGACTTGACCATTTGCAAGGGTCCTTCTCAGCCATTCTAAGATTCTGTGTAGACTTGTTGCTGTTGCCAAGCTGTTAGTGAAGAAATATGAGGAAAATTTTCAATCTTCAAATTTTCCCCTGCCATCACATTTACAGAACTGAATACTTTAAGATGAGCTTTCAGTTATTGAATTATCCTTTCTGTAATATAGTGAATTGTTCAAATGTAAGATCTTTTAAATGGGAAATTGAGATGCTGGCAGAGAAATGCCAGCAATTTCTCTTTAGAATTCAGAATCAGTTGCCAATTAAGTGGTTATTGACTTTATCTTGATCTACGAGAAACATTCTTGCCAGATCTTCTCTGATTTTTCGTTTTGGATGACTTACAACATACTCCTTTTGACAATATTTACTCTTGCCTTTATTTCCCCTTGCTGGTTCCAGTATCCTGTAAGATGTTAAAAAGTGAATTTAGCCATAAATGACACAAGCCTTTTCAGTAGTCTTAGTATTTTTCCCAGACTGGCTTATTTGATATCTGTGTTCAAATGTTTTGAATTTGCTCTCTTGCTGAATAATCCGGATGTGCAGTATCTGTTTAAGAAGAACTGTATCCACTTAATGGAAGCACGCAAAGATGCAGAGCACTGGAAAGCAGCAGAACTTCTCCTAATTTAGTCCACTGTCTGTATTTATCGCTGTTGTTCAGTGTGTGTGCCTTCCCTCCCACCCCAGCTGCCAACACACAGATGGCATTCCCAGCAAAGTAAACAATTCGGATTCAGTACACTATTTGTGGTCTGGAAATGTGAGCAGATGACTGGGAGAAGGGAGGAAAGGGAGGGCTAGCTTTACATATTTCAGGTCAAGTTCTGACCTGAATTATACCCAGTCACTGCAGGGAGGTCCTGGGGGCTACCAGCAGGAGGGGTCAAGACAAGGTCTGGTACTGTACACACTTGGTACATTTTGAGGTTTGGATTTAAATTTCCATCCTATGAAGTTATTTAGTTCTAGCATTTTAGCAGCTTTAAATAATTAAAAGGCCTGGAAAAAAAAAAATAGGTATTGTTTGCCTTAGAAACCAAGTGAAAACAATGAGGAACAAGAAGGCACCTTTGCAAAGTTGTTACAATTAAACCCAGACAAACAGTGGAACATTTGCAGTGTCTATGAACAGATGTCTAATGACAAGCAAACAAAACAGTAATTCTTAAGTAATAATTTATCTTCGGTTTATTTTTAAAGGCCTTTTACTCAGCCCTTTCATATTAGTCATTTTGATATGCTTATAGCACTGTACACCAGCCCTACTATCTACCTAGGAACATGACTGGGGTTGGATGCAAGAGAAGAGGAAAGGAGAGACAAGGTGATTTTTAGACTAGAAGATAACACAGGCACAGGTACCCCAAATTTTTTCTTCAGAAAAGAATTCTTCAGAAATTTCAGGTGCCTGTAACTTTTTCAGACTTTCCCAAAGTAGCATGTGACCTGGAGTGAAAAGCTTCAGATAAAATGATTTTGCTGAACAAAGGCTAAGAGAAAATATTGCCGTTTTAGGCATCTTAAAAATATTTTTGCAACTTTTTTTTGCTGGGAAGCTCTAGTACTCCATGCGTTGCAGTGAGGAGCTGACATTTGGCACATCTGACAGCAGGATTTTTTTTTTTAATTTTTTTTTTTTGGCCACTTTGTTAAAATTCATTCAAAACACTGCTCACAGTATGAATTACTTAAAAATATCAGCTCATAAATGTATAGCAGAGTTCTTACTGCTCAGCTGCAGTCGGGCCACTGAAGCATCAGATCTGAGAGCAGAGACAGATGTCCTTTCCAGTGATTCAGGCTAGATTTAAGCAGGTACTGGCCCATCTGCTGGGCGCTGCTCCTCTATCTCAGATGTCATAGATGATTATCTGAATGCTTGAACTCAGATTCAGTGCAAATGCAGAAAAGCAGTGCCATTCGCTGACAGTGCTATCTGAACAGTCCCCAGCTGCTCATTCCCAGCCTATACTGTCTTTCAGTTGGCCTTATAAAATTGTTTATGGGGCTGCTTGACAACCTGGATCAGATGCTCCCCACCCTCGCAAAACAAACAAACAAAAAGAAAGCTCCTGTTATTCTTAACCTGAACACTATCAGTACAGAGATGATTGCAAATAGATTTGCAACTGGCTGTGCCCTGAGAGATCAAGAAGAGGGAGACTGTCTTTTCCACGCACTGATTTTTCCTTTTGCTTTTTATGTGCAGGTATTATAAGGAGACCAAACTGTATTTGCACCTGCAGTGCAGTCAGGACAGCAAAGTGAGCAGCTGAGGGCTGGCATTCCCCTTTCAGAAGGCAGACAATTGTGGCTGGTAATCCCCTGAACTGCCACTGTAGGGTTTGGTAAAGCTTATAAAGCTTCTCTGGCAGAGCCCTTCATGCTCAACCACCTTAAAAGGTAACTAAGAAGTGTTAATAGTGTTTGTTTATGTGTGAAGTCAAAGTCTCTGCTGGTGACATGAGCACTTTGTTATGCACAAGAAATGCATTAATGTTTCTGTCTAGAACCACAAACAAAATTCTGTATTGACCAGGAGGAAAGTTTTGTAATCTATTTGAATAATATCCCCTTAATTAGAATCAGAAAACACAGGACTATCAGGCTTTATAATCAATCAGCTAGTGATATTGCAAAGATTTCCCACTGTCCCTTGGACAGTCCCTTGGACTTACAAAAACGGTCTTGTATTTTTAAATAGAAATTGGATTTGAAAGAGACGTGGCATGAAGGTACTTAATAGTCTTTGTGCACAGTAAAGAGTTTCAATGATGGGAATAATTTTGGCTCATTGGTGCTTGCTGTTGTTTTCCACGGGGAGCCTAAGGGGGCTTTTTATGAGGCCTGTGAAAAATTACCTGTGAAAATTCAGGGAGTTTTGATTTGCTTTGTAAAGCTCTGCTCTTCCACTGGGACAAAAAAGAAAACTAGGAGCCTGCAAACTGGTATAGAAGTACACATTTGTGCTGTAGATGACTGCATACTAATACCTCTGTGGTCAAGCATGTGTGTTTGCCCATTATGGTTTTATTTTTCTTTTGAGTTCTCAGGTAGATTTCTCAGTGATCTGATTTCTTGGGATGCCAACAAAAGAAAACTCAAATTTATTTGAGGGTATATAAAGGCATATATAGGTTTTAAATAGATATATAAATTAAGAAACAAAATGGAATGATAATGATTTTAAAAAATACAACCAACCAACCAACCAAACAAAAAACAATCTCCAAGCTGAGCATGCTGTGTTTCATTCTCTTGTCTAATTAAATTTGTTGAGAACTTCCTTTTTGAAAAGCATATGTGACACAGACTTCCTAGTCATTTGGGAATGAGTTAGATATTGAGTAGTATCTGCATATTATTCAAATTCCAGCTGATTAAGACACTGCGTATATCAGAAGTTTCCTGTGATATCTGTATGGTTTATCGTGAACAGCAAAGGTAGATTGGTACTTTTAGACAAAATGATTTTCATCTGAAAACATATCTATTTGTATAAGCCAAAACTTGGTAGGAAGTGGATGAAATAAGACTTCAAAACACTGAAAAACTGAATTTAATAAAAACAAATTTTTAACACTTCAAAGATTTTGTTTTCTCAGAAATGGCTTTTAGTTACAAAATATATACTAATTCTAGTGCAATCCAAATGTTCTTAAATAAACTAGAAGAAATATTGTCATTGACTCTTTTGACATTATAATTATTTTCAGTTCCAAAACATTGTCAAGGTTTTAATTTCTAATATCTTTTTTTTTCACAGTTTAAGAAAGGGATCTTTTCACAAGATGGGAAACAGTCCAAATCCAGTCCTAACTCAGTCCTTTATGTCACACAGAACTTGGCAGAGCTTGGTAGAAGGGAATAAAGGAGAACCACATAAGAACCTCAGGAAAAAAAAATAATAATTGTTCTGCTTTCCCTTTACATCTGTTCCCTAGCCTTTAATCATTCATTATCAGCTGTAGTTCTGGTATGATTATTATCAGGTATCCATTCTAGAAAGTAAAGCATAATGGTAATGAATAACATGGATCTATTGTTTAAGCAAATGTTCATGATTCTCTACTCAGTGACTTAAAGAATACAAAACTTTTTCCATTCCTTCAAGCAGGGTTATTTATTTTATATGCTATAGAGAAATGTTTACAAATTAATCCTTTTTTACAAGTGGAAAAATTTTGCATGTTTGTGTCTCTCTTCCATATGATAATGAAAATAAACCTTTTGTTATTTTGTAGTTGTTCTTATTTCATGATAACACAGAAAGAAACCTGGCATGTTGACTACGGTTCATTAGGGAACAACAGAAAAGTTCTCTCTCATTCTATGTCCTGAAAAAGTACTGGTTTACCTCAAGTTATAACATATGCTAAATGACTGCAGTTCTGCTTCAGTGGTTGAAAATGCAAAAATTATTTGTATGTTATGGCATTTTGTTTCAAAGCAATCTTTTCTTATTCATTATAAGTTTACTTTTTAGTTTAGTTACATGACCTAGAAATTCTAGTGACTGAAAGTGGACAGTTGGAATTGAGATATCAAGTCTCAAGCTTCCACTGGGAAAATATGTAGAAGAAGAAAGTATGATTAGGGATGTTTTGTTGAGGATATGGGAAAAAGGGAACAGAAGATTTCTGTGCTTCCTGGAAAAGAGCACTGTGAGAATTTCTGACAGCAGAAGTTGAATGAGACAGAAACTGTTTGAAATTAAGAGTATTACTGAATTTGGTCAAGGAATTAATTCATGGATAAACATGGATCTCTTAAAAGGCTCTAAAACTTCTATGGACCTGAGATCTGGCTACACTGAAGCAAATGATGAACCTCCTGAAAGCATCACATCACTGGGTTGTTTGACAGGTAGAAAAACATCTGAAGGCCCTTGAAAAGGAAAGTCACCAGACAGCAGCTCACTCATAACTTTGTTGTTGCCTGAGAGAATTTTGAGGTGACACTCAAGTTAGAAAACATTGGGTTTAACTGTAAATAACTCTTCCAGCATTTCATTAAAGAAGGAGTTGACAACTGAACTTTACAGTGTTCACTTGGCGGTGCCAGCAGTGGGACAACTCCTCCTTGGGAGGACAACTCAGATTCAGAGAGGCTTTGGGTTGCCCCAGGCCGAAGAAAGCCAAAGGCTTTACTGCTATCCGTGAGCTCATTGAAAAAGGTGATTTTCTCAAGGCAGAACTTACAGTTCTGCTGTGTTGGTCAATATGGTACGCATGTTGGGTAGATCATCGGCTGCTGTGACGTGTCATAGTTCTGTGGAACTTGGTGAAGTCTGAGCAATCCTTACAGTGTGAGGATTTCACCTTTATAAGAAGTATCAAAGAACATTTTACATTCAGTTATTTTTCATGACAGGACTGACTTGACCAAGACCTTTTTATAGAGCATGTATAACTACAGAATTATTTCAAGTGGATTTGTTTTTTTGTTTGCTTCATAAGCTGGAATTTCTATGATTTTTACACTTTCATATGTTCATATACTCATCATTTACTATGAATTCATCCACTTGCAGAGCTTGATACATACATGATTTGACAATTAAGATTCTTTCTGTGTAAGGACAAATTTCAATTTTCCTGTATTTTCACCCACTGGAAGGATAGGAGTATTCTTTTTCTTTTACAAAGGTGAGTAATTTTCTACCATCTCATGTGTGGTGGCACTTCTTTCTTGAAGAGTTAAAGTCTAGATGAAAATTTAATCCTACTTTATCTTCTCTTTACATTACTTGCAGAGTCTGCTCTCTTAGTTATCCCTTCCTGATATTTTTAGTCTTAGTTCTGTTTGGTGTCCTTTATCTGACTCATGTTGTTCAGGTTGACCCTCAGAATATTCTCTAAAACTGCAGGAATTATTTAAAATCAGGATGGAAGAAGGGCCATCCCAACTCAGACTAAAAAAGACCCAGTATCTTGGCTCCAAAAGTGAGGAGAAATGGCGAAAAGTAGATGATTATTGAAGATTATAATAAAATGATAAGCACACAGTGATAGCTACCCACCTTATCTTTCCAACTTCCAGTGATACAATATCCTAAATCTGAGGCTGCTGCTTTGTATTTAATAGGTCCTGAGAGATGAGTCTGTCCGAGAGATTTTTAATTCATGTCAGATTCTGTAAACCTCAGCACCTTGTGGCAAGGAAATTCAGAGTTGCCTAACTGCTGTATGAGGCAATGCTTCTGGTTTTATTTCTTCTGAATTAACTCATTTGATGCCTCCTTGTTTACTATCTATTGTGATACAAAAACTTCCATTCCCTCTGTGACCTGTCTTTGCTACTCTTGATTTTAGAAATCTCTTATCTTTCCTTCCACTACCATAGTGGATTTCTTCTTCATTTTGCTCACGTATGCACAATAAGTTTGATTTCATTGCAGTTTACTGTTAATTTAGCTGTTGATATGGAAAGACTTAAATGATGTCAGATGTCTTTCCTGGCTGGTTTGAAGAAATACAGCTGTGGATGTTTTGTTTCCTAAATTTTCTTCCTTTCATCTAAAATGATACAATTGCCTACAATTTCCAAGTTAACAAAGTTAAAAGAAGGAAGATATTACTATTTTTTTTTTTAACACCTTACCTTTGTTATTTGTGCAGTTGTTGCAATTAATAATATTTGCCTTTTCTAAGATAAGAGGTCAATGTTCAAGTGCTTCCTCACTGCTAGCAGCTGGTGAGCATCCATGGCTTATCCCATAGAGTGCAATCAGTGCATCACCTGACAGTACCCTCCCAGCTGCCCTGCTGCAAGGGACCACAATGTGCAAGGCCCTCAGCCACCTGCTGCAGTAATTTGGAGCCCCAGTGCAGCAGTGCTAGCTTTCCAAGGAGGCTGGAATTTACACTTACAGTCTGAACAAGCTTCTGGACAAGGTCCATCTGCGGCAGCTTTGTGAAACTATAGAACATGTAGAATAACTTGGAAGGCTGTTGCATGGGGCACACAGACTCCAAATAATTTGTTAAGAATTTGTCATTTTTCCCTTGCACTTTTATTCTTGTTTGATGGACTGACCTTGTCTGAGTGTACCCTGAAAGGCTCTGTCAGTTCAGGAGGCAAGAAAGACTTAAGATAAAAGACACTGACTTGTAACTGAAGTTACATCAATGAGTGCTAACCAGGAGAAAATCACAGAATCACAGAACCATGGAATTGTAGGGGTTGGAAGGGACCTCTGAAGATCATCTAGTCCAACATCTATGAAGGCATTTTCTCTACAGTACCTTGCACAGGAAAGCATCAAGGTGAGTTTTGAATATCTCCAGGGAAGGAGAGGCCAGAACCTGCCTGGGCATTCTGTTCCAGTGCTCTGTAACTCTCAGAGTAAAGAAGTCTTTTCTCATAAGGTACTTCCTGGGTTTCAGTTTGTACCTGTTGTCTCTGGGCTTCCACTTGCTTCCGGCAGTTTATAAGCATTGATAAGATGCTCTCAGCCTCTTTTCCAGGATGAACAGTCCAAGGTCTCTCAGCCTTTTCTTGTAAGGGAGATGCTCCAGGTCCCTAACCATCTTTGGGGCCCTCTGCTGGACTCTCTCTCTATAAGTTCCCTGTTTTTCTTGAACAGAGGAGCCCAGAACTGGACACAGTACTCAAGATATGACTTCACCAGGGCAGGGTAGAGGGGGAGGATCACATCCCTCATCCTGCTGGCCATACTCTTTTTAATGCATCCCAGTATACCACTGGTCTTCTTGGCCAGAAGGGCACACTGTTTCCTGGTAGTCAACTGCTGTCCATCAGGACACCTGGGTCCTTCTCAGCAGAGCTCCTTCCCAGCAGGCCAGCCCCTAACCTGCATGCAGTTTTTATTCCCCAGGTGTAGCACTGTACACTCACCCTTGTGAAGCTCATAAGGTTCCTCTCCACTCAACTCTCCAGCCTACCTAGATCTTGCTGAACGGCAGCACAGCCAGAAAAAGGCAATAAGTTATTATACGTTCCTGGAGGAAATTAAAGCTAGAAAACTCTTTTTTTTCCCCTGAATTCACATACTACAAAACCTGGAGAAATATATTTAAATGCAAACTTGCACCCTTGTTGTAACTGTGGTATAACTGTGGTATTAGTATGGTTGCAGGGCTGAGCCTTGGTAACAAAATGCACAATCTATTTTATTTTCAACTTCTGGAATAATATATTTCAACAGCAATATGTAGGCAAACTGTAGGAACTACCTCAATTTTCCTTGAAATGTGCCCTGCATTACAAAGTGCACATAAGGTGATAGAGCCATTACAGACTTTGCTGGCTTGCCCAAGACAGCTTTAATAAATGGAAGGGCCCAGTTCTATTTCAGGACAGTGGAAGGTTATGCTGTTCCCTTCTGAAACACATCATCATAAACATGATCCACCTCTGAGCATTTCAGACAGTAATTATACAATTACTGTAAGGCACAAATGAATGAAATCTTTCTTTTAACAGCCTTACAGAATCTCATGGGAGACTATAAAAAAGAAGGGGACAGATTCTTTAGCAAAATCTGCTGTGACAGGACAAGGAGAATGGTTTCAAACTAAAAGAGGGGAGATTTAGACTGGATATGAGGAAGAAGTTTTTTATGGGAAGAGTACTGAAACACTGGAACAGATTGCCTAGAGATGTGGTGGAAGCCTCATCCTTGGAGACATTCAGTATCAGGATGGATGGGGCTCTGAGCAATCTGAACCAGGTGACATTTAAAGATCCTTTCCAACTCAAAACAATTATTTGATTCTATGATATGCTGAAATAAGCCTTTGCTATGGTGTGGGCTTCAGTATTCAGTAGAAATTAAAGTTTGCAGCCAGAAACCAAGACGAAGGGATGTCTGCATTTTGGATAGGATAAGGCACCTATGAATATGAAGCACGTTGGTTCTGAGTGACTGTTTTTTGTCTCTTAGAATTATCAGTATTCCTCTTGCCTGCTTGAGGCCATCCCTTGTCACTCACCAGGGACTGGACCTTAGCTACTCTTCAGTGATCCTTTCTCAGTCTGACTTGTGAGATGAGAACAACAGGCACACGAGTGAGAGACCAGTCTTTTGAGATATTTTTTGTCTTCAGCGGGCAGTTATGTCTGACTAAAATGCTCCTACATATCTGCTTTGGTGTCTCCCTCAGGACATTCAAAGCAATATTTCAGTACTACAAACCAGAGAGCCTGCAATAATTCCTTGTCCGTAAGTGACTTAAGTTGTTTAATGCTCTAGAACAACCTTATTGCAACATCACAGTGATATCTTCCAAACCCAGCTCTTTATAAAAGCTGTATTGTATGCCAGACTGATGTTAACACACA